GAGAGAGAGAGAGAGAGAGAGAGAAGTCTCAATGAATGACATATAAAATTCTTAAGGCAGTAAAGGACAAAATGAGAAACTAAAGTAAAATCTGACAGAAATAAGAGTCAGAATACTGATCCAATGACTTGTGTGCAGGAAACAGGAGAACTACTAATCAATGCAGAGAAATAGAAGATGGCAACAAAAAAGAGGAACAAGAGACCTCTTTCACAAGATCTGTGAAATGAAAGGAAAATCAGGGCGACACATTACATGACCAAGTAGAAATAAAAAAGATGCCTGAAACAATATGCTGAAGGACTGTATAAAAGAGATGAAAGTACAAAAGTTTCATTCAAGGAAGAACCATTAAAAGATGAACATCCAATTTTTGAAAGTGGAGCACTTGGTAGAATGAAAATACAAGGAAAAGATGGAATAGCAATAGAGCAGGTTCAAGATACGGAGACAGAATCTTCTCTAATTTTAACTAAAATCTGATAACAAATATGAAAAAAATAACGGATTGTAAACACTTAATATACATTACAAGAAAGAAAACACAGAGGAAGAGTCTGGTTATAAATGCAATGGCTTCCAATTTTGATTAATGGAAAATTAATTTGAGAACAATTGTGAATAATTGCTCAATATTTACCTACCTTCTAATGAAGCCTACATCCCTGGACATATATTAAGATTATATTTACCAACTTTCTACTAAAATGTAATGAGTAAACAGAACCTTTCTCATTAGCAATTTAAATTGTGATCAAAATATTTAAAACTGAATAACCAAAGAAACAATTATTTAAAATGTATTAAATTAATTTGATTTAAACCAAATTTAACCAGTTTTTGTGCATCATCCTAACACATAGTTCAAACTATCTTTGTTTTTCAAGGAAGATTATTTCAGCAAGGGACTCACAGCAGCAAGAAGTAACATGTTTCAGAAGGCAGGGTAGAAGCTACTAGCATCTGATGTAACTAAAATTCATCAACTGTGTCTTCTCCTTTCATTAGATTAACATAAAATGTTCAAAACATGGAAATTCCAGACAAATGCAAATGCCACTAGTGATTCCATTTAAAGGATAAATTAAGCCAATCAGTCAGAAGCATTCATACCCACAAAGTTATCACTCCACACATTCAAACATCTAGAACTGTGGTTCCCAAACTTATTTGGCATTCCCCCTGGAAATCATTTTTTCTAAATCTTCTCTTCTTTCTTTTATGCTTTCACTGCCCCCTTACAGTTATTCATCACCCCCAAATGCACCTGTGGCTATTACCGCCCGCCCCCCCCATCACAGCAGCACCCACCAGGGGGTGGTAACACACACTTTGGGGATCACTGATCTAGAAGCATGGCTCCGTAATGCCAATTTGGCAAATCCAAATTATTATTATTATTAGTAGTAGTAGCGTAGTAGTATTACTTCCCTTTTTCCTAGGATTGGGACCCAAAACAGCTACCAACTATAAAAGCAATACATTAAAAAAAACATGCAAAAGGTAAATATTAAAATAAAATTCAATTATTAAAACAATTTGATTTTTTAAAAAATAAACAAAAAGGCTGTTAAAAACAATTTAACTAAACCATTGCAGTATTGCCTAATCCACTTCTGTTGATAGGACAACAAGGAGGGGGCTACTCTGGCCTCCCTTGGAAAAGAGTTCCACAGCTCAGGGTTGGTCATTGTGAAAGCCCTCTCTCATATCCTCCAAAACATATGGAGGGCTGGCTTATAGAAGGAGATACAATTTTCCAAATAAACTGGATCTGAGCCATATAGGGATTATAGACCATAGCCAGTACTCTAAATTGTGCCCAGGAACAAACTGGCAGCCAGTGGAGCTGCTGCAACAAGGGAGTTGTATGATTCAATAAGTAAGAATATTATTCAATTCAGAAACTGAATAAACTTAATATTTTTTTCTACCCCACTCAATTTCAACCACATTGGGAGTCTGACTCTTTGCCTGGGCTAATGAGAGCCCACACACTCTATGTTAGGAGGCAATATCAGCACTGTAAATCTTCTATGGATGTGAGAGCTGGACCATAGGGAAGGCTGAGAGAAGGAAGATAGATGCTTTTGAACTGTGGTGCTAGAGGAAAGTTCTGAGAGTGCCTTGGACCACGAGAAGATCCAACCAGTCCATACATCAGGAAATAAAGCTTGACTGCTCATTGGAGGGAAGAATAGTAGAGGCCAAGATGAAGTACTTCGGCTACATCATAAGAAGAAAGGAAAGCTTAGAGAAGACAATTATGCTGGGGAAAATGGAATGGAAAAGGAAGAGGACCCGTCCAAGGGCAAGATGGATGGATGGTATCCTTGAAGTGACTGGATTGACCTTGAAGGATCTGTGGGTGGTGACGGCAGATAGGGAGCTCTGGCATGGACTGGTCCATGAACTCACAAAGAGTCGGAAACTACTGAACGAATGAACAACAAAATCTTCTGAATTAACCTCAAAGAGCTATATGGAAGTCTGCATCTTAAAGTGAGAGAACTATTTTAAGTTGTTGGCTTTTAGCTGAGTGGTTTATCTTTGCACTTCTTCCAGATAGCTAAATAGTTAGAAGATAGTATGTGCGTTTTGTTTTTAAAAATTTGTATGCAACATTCAGAAAGGGACAGTTTTAGGATGTGATTGAATTCAGTTTGTGAAGACTTTTTTTATGAAAGTAAAGGAAGTAAATTCACATCACCTTTCTAAATTATGAAAGAAACAATTATATAACAAATTGATTTTTTTGCCTTCTTCAACGTGAAAACATACAATATTCTTTTTATTCTATCCACTAAAATTGTGCCAGACGCTTGGATTACTGAAAGGGTCCCTTACAGAAACATCAATGTGAAACAGCAGCTCAACAAGAAGAGCCACTGCAGAATGATCTATGGTGCATCAGCACTATTTTCATATCAGTCAAGGCAAGAAGCCAGAGTGAAAATTAAGTCAAATCATAGCTTCTTGGCCACAAACCTATGGACTTATCCAGCTGACAGTCACAATGATTCATGATCCTTCAGAATATGTTGAATTACCTACCCATAGATTTTCCCAGGTGCTGGTAAATTCTAAAGAATTATTCATTTTTCTGGAGCAACACATTGCACACACCTCTTTTTTATGTAAGTCTGCATTTAGCCTTGTAGGTCTTTTCAACTATCTACTTTCAACGTCTGGTACATCCTCTTTATGTCAGTCAATAAATAGGTACTATTTCACACGTACACCTAATTTAGTGTTTCAAAAAGGCAGTTTTGAATTGTGGAAAGTCAACCATGATATAATTTCTCTACATTTAATTAAATAATGAAAAGGCCCAAGAAAAAAAGTTTTAGCAAATAAAGTGAGGAAACTGGTAGATTTTTTTTCAAAGGCCAATGGTTTTTTGTTGCTGTGTCACATTGAACATCCCCTCAAAAACAAAAAAATTAAACAATTATAATGACAATTATCAAATGTTTCACACTCAGTTTTTTCTAACATGGATCTTCTGGATGGACAGTTCTTTGTAAGAACCACATGCTTCCTGACAAACCTAACCTACTGTGTTGTGAAGTCTCCTTCTTTTGAGGTTTTTAAATAGAGGCTGGAGGGCCATCTGTAGGGAATGCTTTGACTGTGTATTCCCGCATGGTAGGGGTTTGGACTGGATGGTCCTTGTGGACTTTTCCAACTCTATGATTCTATCTGTAGAATTCCCTTCTCTGGACAGATGACTGCACAGATCTTAAAATGTAATATGAAGTGCCTTTTTCTTTATTAGCTACTTGCTGAACATTTTAATGACACCACAAAATAAATTTTCTAACCTCTGTTTTCAGAATAGTACCTCTGACTCCTTGAGCCTCAGACCACAAAAATACAAAAGTCTGTTCCTATTTATTTGTAGCGTATCAGAATGAACCAGAGGAAAATTAAATCAACATCACATGTGGCTATATTATACTTAATTTATCAGCCTGTTCCCTACTTTCTTCCACTGTATTACCATTCTATATTTGGCTAGGTAGAAAAGGATAACACTTAAATGTTATGGTATTGCTATCCTCAATTTAATAATCAAATGCATTTCCCTATAAAATAAAATATTGAAGCACGACCCGCTACTCTAAGTACATCCAAATCATAAGTGCATCAAATTAGCTGGTAACTTAGTTTTGGCCAAGCATTCTGATTGGCTTAAGCAAGAAACTATCTCATTCTATTTGATATTTTTGCATTACTAGTCATAGCTGGATCTGTGTAAGATGAAGATGATAGCTTATAGTTTGAATGGCATGAAGGATGCACACATGAAACAAATAAATTAAGATTACTACTACTATTACTACGACTAATAATAATAATAATAATAACAGAGTAAGAATTAATGAAACCAAGCAAGAACACAAGCAGCAGACACACTCAAGAGAGCCAGACAGAGTGAGAGAGTACCTGGAAAGCTGTGAGTGAGCCAGTCCCTGGGTTATAGAGGCATCGCAGCGAGGGCATGCTGTCCGCCAGGCTGGAACAGCCCAGCCACAGAGACCGGGGCATAGAGCACTGTAGAGAAAGGACAACTATGAGATGGGACTGTATGAAATAGGATGGCACAGATTAAAGGAATTTCTGAGGCTGAAGTTCTCAGCAAACTTATAGCTGATATTACAAGGCTGGAGTAGCTTCTGCACACCTACATGTTACTGTCCTGTATAGCCTCCTTAGAGAAAAACAGAAAGGGAAGGAAGGGAAAGGGTAGAAACCACCAAACAGGCAAACACACACACATAATGCCATTCAAATACGTGTTCAATATTTTATATCACTGTTTGCAGAAGTATTCTAATGCAAACAAGATAAACCCAGTATTCCCTGGGCCACATGTTTTCCATTACAACGTAATCATTGTATGCTCATTTCTCTTTGTTGTACACATTTCCCTACATGTCTTAATCATGACAAGCTAGTATCACAATCATTGTTAATGTAACAATTATTTGTTCTTATCTAGGATTTGAAATTGCCTTCAAATTTCAGTAAACATAGTTGGTCGAGATGTTATGTGCTGTGGCTAGTGGGAGAAGAATGGAATTGATAGACATTCTATTTTGCAAACTCTGCAAAATGCTATCCAGCTCTCTGATTTGATGGAATTAAGCAAGGAATTATCTACATATGAACAGACCAATCCTGATCGCTTAGCCATAGACAGAATTGGGCAGAATTGCATTTCTCTCAGTGCATCTCTTAGTTAACATTTTAAAATATCTTAAATCAAGATAAGAGATCTTCCTGTTCTCCAAAGAACTACTCTACCACCTCACTGTTATGCCAACAGAGAACAATTTCTGGCATCTTGTACCAATCTTGCAAGGCTTTGAGTATAACCCTAATAATGGTCTGTGTCTGCCATTAGATTGGCTAAGCATGAAGACTTGTCAACTGAAGGTTGCCCACAAAGTCAACTGATTAATACTTCCAACCCTCCCAGCATAATCCCTATAAAATCTGGGCTGGGCTCTGTCATACAAAGTGGGATTATACAATGGAGCATATATTTTTGCAAGGTATGAAATATATAGAACAGGATGTATAATTCTGCAGTGTATGCAAGAAGTATGTAAATGTTACACTACATACTAAAGAGGAAAATCAAAATTAGAATTACCCCTCTACTTTCATAGGGGGTAGGAACGCAGGAGCCCTGCAAAGATGGGGAAACCATACATATCTCTAGGTCTACCTTCCCCCAAAATGTATTGAACTCAAAACACAGACTTAGGGCTGGCCTTGGCCACACAGGCGTTTCCTCACACACTCACTGTTGAGCAGGAAGGGGGTAACTGCATGTGTGAGGAATGCACATGCAAGCCTTCTGTCCCATCCCTGCCCAGGCATGTCCTTTGTCCCATCAGCCAGGGAACACTTGCACATGCTTTTCCTCCTTGCACTCCCTTGTCTCATCCTCTTCCTTCCCACTTGCCCACTCACAGTTGACAACATAAAGAGAAACTTAAGCCAAGCTTCCAAACAACAAACCTGCAGTCTTGATTTTGCATTGATTCTTCTCTCTTCTTTACCCCCAACCCCAATTTTGAGGTAGCTATGAAACTTATGTTGCTTCTCTTTATAAAGTATTAAAATGTGGTCTTTCCTCTTTACAGTTTCTCCTTATGCTCTTTATGCAAGGTAATGCTGACACTTAATAGATCAGGATGAAGATACTTCTAGTCCACAAAACATATGACACATATATTTTTAGACTTTAAAGTGCTACACACTGCTGGTAGCTAATATTATATTGTTACCAATTCTATCTTCCTGTGAAAATTCTCTCTCTCTCTCTCTCTCTCTCTCAATTTCTTTGATTCCCATTTTCCTTCTCTCCTTTTATTGACTCTTATGCATGCTCAGGAGTAGGATCAGCCCATTTTATAAAGCAAGATTGGAAATCACGTCGACCATAGGTGACCTCTACAGATTCACTGACTCCTTTGGACCCACACAGACTCCCCAATGTTCCCTGTATAAAGACACGTCGTGTGGCCAAACAATATAACTGGACAGGGGGCAAACAGATCCCACCGCTGTCCCTCCAATATAACGGATTTACACCACTGGCACCAATAGAACGTTTGAGGGGATTGTCTCTCTATTTAAACTTTCGCTGCCACCATAAACTAAATGAACAGGAACCCTCTAGCTGGTTAAACTATTAAAAAGGCTTTTTAGACCACCAAGTACTGTGTCTTTTAAATGGCTTCTCTGAAAGAAAACAGGTGAGGTTGAATGGAAAGGAAAATGGACTAAATCCACAAATGTACACTTGACTCAGGCTTTTAAGTTTCAAAATAAACAAGGAAAGTTTATTGAATAAAGTACAGAATGAAGTGAATGCTGTTTAGTAAGCTTGTCTGTTACAGATAAAATGTTTTGGTTCTTGAAAGCGTAACGGTTGCAAGAGAATGGTTCTTTCTTTGTTACAAATATAAAACCCAGCTATTTCTTCCCTAAATAGCTGTATCCAGTTTGCCACAGCTTAATTCGCTGGCAAACCTCAGGCAAACTGCCTATTCTTAGCACGAACTCCTAAAAACTTCTGTAACCCTGCTCTAACTCTAACATCAACAGACTGACTGACAAAACTTCTTTCTTTCCCTCCAAACAGTCTAACTCCGCCCCCCTTTAATAAACCAATCCTGGCTGCTTCAAGGCTGGCTCAGGCCTAGGCCACTCCCCCTCTCTGAACTGGAGCTTTCCCTAAACTAAAATGGCTCCTGCTGCCCTCTGCCAGGCCTTCTAAGGCTGAAACTAACTAGCCTGCCTCTCCTAGGCCCTGCCACCCAGGCTGGTAAGGTAAGGGATCTTCACACCCTGCATTTTGGAGCTTTAGAAGATTGGTGAGGATCCATCCCCCAAAAATGTACCTTTAGAGATCTGAAAGGCAACAAGGATGCTGTGAAATCACTCCAGTTGCCCAAAATGGCAGCTGTTGTGGTGTGCTGCAGTTCTCTGGAAGAGCAAAAAAGGGAGTACTGCAGCCCTTCTGGCTCCAATTCATCCCTGTTGTAAACCACTATGTACATAGGCAATGAAGCAGCTGTAGAAAATTCCAAAACAATGGGCTGTCACCAATATATTGCACATTCTACACTGCAAACACTTTCTTCTCAGTAATAGATGCAATTTTTCTTATTTTGGCATTTTAAGAATCAAAGTAACATAAGTTGCTTGAGTTACCTGTCATTACCTGCTCTGCAGGAATCTTGTTTTAGTACACCTGTTCTCTGCTTATGGCACACAATAGACTGGATTACAAGAATAGATCTGAAAGGTGCAGAGAAGTCCTGTCTAGCGACATATGCAGACTGGGGTAATTGCTCAGTTGTATCACTCATAAAGAGGAAGTAAACTCATTCATACTCTCAAGTTTGATGAACTCACTTAGAATGTTTCTCACGTCTTCTGTGTAACAAGATTTATATTAACCTTCAGTGTGTTGCTTTCTCGTTTCTTTTAAAGAAAGCAACATTTATTGTCTTTAAAGGACTATATATGGATGGAAAATGTCATTCCTGTTCTTGCTTTCTATCCAGAGAAAGCAGAGGCTTTAAATTGCTACTGGTGTCTGAAAGAAGCTTATTTACGCACTCAAACAAAAGGCCGCCAGTGTTTCAATAGAAACACAACACAAGTAAATCACAGAAGTGACCCATCAGGACACCTTCATTTGCTGCCCCTGCACTAAGAAAGCTCAATAGGCCCTGTTCAAATGACTGGTCAAGCTGCTTGCTTCAAATACTCACTACTGCACTGACATCTCCACAAATAAGGGCCACATTCTTTATCACTGGGCAACTATTCAACTAAATTTCCTACTTGCATCCCCATCAGCTACAGATTTTTAAAAAGTCAAAACAAATAATATAAATTGCTGCGAAAACAGCGTTTCCAGCCAAGGAGAAAGAGCAAATAGCTGGCCAAGCTTAGAAGCTCTTTTCTTTAAAAATGGAATGGGCATCTACATTTTTGGAAAGTTTGAATGCAAGTAGGAGACTTGTCACTGAATTTGTGTATCTGCACAAACAGATATATCCTTTTCCTAGCATACAGAAAACTGAAGCTTTGGGGGGAAATGTCCTTTCCCTGACATTTATTTTTCTGCACAGTAGAAAATATTATTTATTTACATTATTTCTGTATTACCTCCAAGTGCACAAAGACTCCCAAGATGATGAACCAATAAAAAACAACTGAAACAATAAAAAAATACAGAAGAGCACTTTTTGTTGTCTGCCAGAAGCTTAAAAAGAAATCGGGCCAGTCTAATTTGCTTAGGTAGAGTTCCACATTCAAGATGTTGGTACAGAGAAAAACCTGTTATGTGTACCCACCAATCCAACATCACAAGATACTGAGACACACAAAAAGCCCTCCTCCAAAGATCTCAATTTTCTCACAGGTTCATTTGAGAGGTGGTCTTTTGGCTATCATGGCCCTAAGTTGTTTATAGGTCAACACTAGCACCTTGACTTCAGCTTGGAAGCAAACTAGAAGCCAGTGCAGTTCTTGCAAGAGGAGTGTTATATGGCCTTTAAAGTGCTCACCTGACACAAGTCTAGATGCTGTAATTTGTAAGAGTTCCAGCTTCTGAACATTTCTGAAGGGCAAACCCATGTATAGCACATTGCAGTAATCTAATCTAGATAACTAATGCATGAACTACAGTGGCCAGATCTGCCTGTCTCAGGAAAGAGTGCAACCAGTGTACCAGCTAAAGCTGGGCAAAAGCACTCCTGGTCAGCATAGCAACATGGCTTTCCAAGAGCAGTGCGGAGTCCAAGAGCATCTCCAAAGTGATTAACCAAATCTTTCTGAGGGAATGCAAACCCATCCAGAACATACTGTGATCCCAATCCTAGCATGGTTTTCCTGCTGACTACCAGCACTTCTGTCTTGTTTGGATTAAGTCTCAATCTGTTCACCTTCATCCAGTCTTTCATTGCATTGAGACAACAATTCAGAACTATCAAAGCCTTTTTGTCATAAGTTGTGAAAAAGAT